CGGCTTCGCTTATATGACTGAGAAAGGAAGGATTATCCTCAATGACACGAGGCCAAGACAAGGGGAGTTTTCCCGAGGGACTCTCTCTTCCAAAGACTATGTCTGCAATGCCGTGGCCTAGTTCATTACCACCGTACCAGGTTTGCATCACAGCAGGAACTTGATCCCATGGGCCAGATACGGGAGTGCCTGACTGAATGATGACAACGACATTCTTGTTTACTCCTGTAACTTTGGATATTAGTTCATTCTGCCTCCCAGGGAGTTCGTACAATGAACGGTCGGAACCTTCCGATTCCCATTCAGGGCCTAGACCGACGCAAACAACCACTTGATCAGCTGCTTTGGCCAGTTCAACAACACGATCAAGCTCACGGGACTCGTCGGAGTACCTGGCACAGCCAATACGGACACCGCCGGCCCCAAAGACAGGTGCTCCTGCTTTGGTCAGGCTGGAGGTCGTGGCACTGCCAAACTCAACTCGCAGCTTATAGACTCTACTGGCGACAAGCTGCACGTGGTTGATTCTCTCGTCACTCCCGGAACCGAAAAAGCTGGTGCCCCTCTTCTGATCGTGCGAATTGTCAACGATGAGATCGTCGTCAAGATATAATGTTGCGGTTCCAGCGACAGCCAGACTGAAGGCATAGATATCCGTGTTCTCGACAACCAGGTCGGCAGTTATGGTAGCATACACAACATTATCAGGTGCAGCAGGGTTGCTATAGTCGTACAAAACCACGTTCGAGTCGTCGAGCTGCAGGACGTCTATGGCCTCCCGGGCACCAGTGATTTCGCTATTGTTCAATCGCATTGTTGGTGGCGAGGTGTAAAATTTCATTAGGAATTGTCCACGCGTCCCGTCGGGAGCTGTAACGATATCACCCAGTACTGGAAGTTGATTGTAGATCTGGCAGGCTTCGGTGTGCTCTAGGGGCTGTTCGACTTGGCCTTGGAGACCCTCAAGGATCGAGACCACACGTGTAGGCCGGAGCGACGCTGATCCACCACCGCAGAAGAAAGACTTCTGAGAATTGGGTCCGATGACTACGGTCTGCTCTTCAGGGTTAGTCGGATGAGCAAGAAGGACAATGGAAAGAATGTGGTCGACTTGCCTTCTTGTCGACACGGAAAGGCAATATATGGCCGTCGTTTTTGAGGAGGACAACACTCTCTGTCGCTAACCTCCTCAGCACGCTACGATCTTGGTTCGTGTCAGGACATGATTCGGGGCCACTCTCGAGAATTCCAGACGCCCTCACACGATCGGCGAGCTTGAGGACCGAGGCAGCTCTCGCGTCAATTGTACTGCTGCTAATCTTGCCAACACCAAGCGCTGTTGCGACCTGTTTTCCCCTCTGCTCTGTTGGGCCTGGCATTTCGAGATCCAAGCCGTTGTTGATAGCTGCAGCTGTAGAGTATGTTCCAAACCAATCGCTCATTATGCAACCTTGGTAGCCCCATTCGTTCCTCAATATTTGTTGTAGTATCTCTTGGTGCTCGCTCATGTGCTGTCCATTGACTTTATTGTATGCCGTCATAATGGCCCAAGGGTCGGCGTCTCGGATGGCGATCTGGAAGGGAAGGAGGTAAATCTCTCGCAGGGCTCGGGGACTTATCCTGCAGTCTACAAGAGTTCGCTCGTGTTCCATATCGTTTGCGACAAAGTGCTTTAGAGAGCAAGCAATGCCGTTCTTCTGGACGCTGCAGATAAGCGCGCTCGCCAGGCTTCCACTGAGCAAAGGGTCTTCGGAAAAGGATTCGAAACCGCGGCCGCCTAGTGGACTCCTGTTGGAACATATCAGCCGACAAAAGAAGGTAGTGACAGTAGCGCTGCTGTATACCTTTGAGTGTTGGTTGTAGGGCCCAGCCATACATGTGCGCTCTTTGCATGACATCCCCTTGCAATAAGGTCTCCGGCCTCGCGCATCATGTCATGGCTCCATGTGGCTGCCAGTCCAGTGCCGCAGGGGAGACAAGCTGCGGGAACGCTGTTGAAGAACCTTGTGCCTCTAACTCCGTTTGGACCATCCGACATGCGAAGTTTAGGAATAGATAGTCGCGGGATACCTTGCGTATGCCAGAAGTCGGAACCTAGGAAATAACGACATTGGTTGATTAGAGGAGTTCTCGTGATGCTGCTTGGAGAGGGATAGTTACCTGATAGGAGGCTTATTTTCTCACTAGCAGTTAGGTGCTGTAAAAGCTCGCCATACGGGAGCTTGAATGATTCCATGTCGCCCATGCCTGTTGTTTATTGTCGTCGAGGTTGGATGGGTGACAGGTGAGGTGCGAAAGCGAAGTAAGGGTACTGAGAGAGGGTCGCCGAGTCTGATGAAGACGAATGATATCAAGTGAGTCATAGCAAAAATGGATGGAAAGTCAAATCAAATGGGTTTGCCGAAGCGAAGTCATAAGTCTTTCTCATCAAAGTCATCCGGGCGTTTGTTTTGTCGGGTCAGGTCAGGTCGCTGTTCAAGAGGCTTGTTGGATTACTCTACCAAACCAATCGCTGAGGTCTTTGCCGATGATCCCCGTTAGCTTCTTGTCAACATCCACTCACGATGCTTGCCGACTATCCCCGGCAGCAGACTATTGTGGCAGGACTCAGCCGCCCCACCGACAGTACTGTTCAGCCCATACTCATCAGGGCCTAGAAGCATTCTAATTGAGTTTTTAATTGCGAATTCTGGGGATCTGGAGAAGGTGGATTCCCCCATCTTGTGGTATACCGGGGGAGCGAAAGAACCTAGCAGTTCTCCGCAATCATGCGATGGAAAAGAAATAATAAAAGGAAGCGAATGCCGCTCTTGTAATCCAGCGTTCTGGCTTCATCAAACCAGCAGTTCTTCACTGTGCCTTACACCTACATACGTGTCTTACTCAAATTAGTATCGGCTGTCTTTATTGACCGCATCTGCAATGCCTCCTAAGCAGCATCGCGAACAGTCTCTCCTGGCTAGCGTTCTTCCCAAAGAACAGAAGCCTTGGTATCGCATCTCGTACCTCGTCCAACTCAATCTCCTTCTTCTTATCCCTCTCATGTCCTCGTCTGTTGCAGGATTCGATGGTGAGAAACAATCTTTGGTCTTGTTAATAGCTTCGCTAACTTGGCCATGAGGCTCGTTGATGAACGGCCTTCAGGCACTCCCTTCCTGGAAGAACAAGTTCGGGAATCCTCAAGGCCATACCCTAGGCTTCGTCAACGCTGCCCAATCCTTCGGATCGATCCTGGCCCTCCCATTCTGTGGCACACTCTCGGATAGGATTGGCCGCAAGAACACGCTGTTACTCGGTGGCTTGATCATTGTAGTGGCTTCGGTGATCCAGGCAGCCGCTATCAACTACGGGATGTTTGTCGCTTCCCGAGTCCTGGTTGGTATGGGCGCTATCACTATTATACAGCCCAGCCCTATGCTGATTTCGGAGCTGTGTTACCCAAGCCACCGAGGAGTGTACACGGCTCTCTTTTGGACTTTCTACTACTTTGGATCCATTATCGCTGCTTGGAGCACCTATGGTCTCCAGAAGCACATGCCTGACAGTGTCTGGGCGTGGCGAGGTCCCTCTATCCTCCAGGGCGCTCTTCCCATACTCCAAATGGTTTTTGTAAGTAGTTTGTAGTTGATGGATACTCCACGACAGGAAATTGATTTGCTAATACTTGGTTCTTCGTTGCTCAGTGGTGGAAACTCCCTGAATCCCCTCGATGGCTCGTCGCCAACAACAGAGCTGATGAAGCACGGGTTACTCTGGCCAAGTATCATGCTGGCGGAGATGCCTCGAGCCCTCTTGTAAACTTTGAGATGAACGAAATCGTCACCGCTATCGAACTCGACCGACATGCTCAGGACGTTAAATGGAGTGCTCTTGTGGCAACTCCCGGCAACCGAAAACGGGTTCTGATCTCGTTCTTATTGGGCCTCTTTTCTCAGTGGGTGGTAAGTCTCATATCAACCCAGTCATTCCTCTTACATTGTCTCGGAAACTGACAAGTCATTTTGTTTCGAAACTTAGGGAAACAGTGTTGTCTCGTATTATTTGACTCTCGTCCTAGACACTGTTGGCGTTAAGAACCCGGATACCCAGACTCTGATCAACGGTCTTCTCCAGTTATTCAACTTCTTTGCCGCCATCCTCGCCGCATTCTTGGTAGATAAACTCGGCAGGCGTACTCTGTGGAACTGGTCAGGCGTTGGTATGTTGATTTCATTCATCATATGGACCATTTGTTCCGCCCGCTTTGAGATCAACCAATCCAACGGCCTCGGTATCGCTGTCATCGCATTTATCTTCATCTACTTCTTCCATTACGATATTGCCTATACACCACTTGTTCTGGCTTACCCCACCGAGATTCTTCAATACTCTATTCGATCCAAGGGACTGAGTCTGGCTTTTATTGCTATCTACTCGTCACTGATCATCTTGTCTTTTGTCAACCCGATCGCGCTGCAGTCCATCGGCTGGAAGTATTACATTGTCTTTTCCTCCATTACGGCTGTATCCGTCGTCGTCAATTATTTTCTCCTGCCTGAGACAAAGGGCCTCTCTCTTGAGGAGATTGAAGGCCTTTTCGACGACAAGGACGTTTCTGATGGCGGGATAGGATCATCTAAGTTGGAAGGAGGCGAGGTTAGCCACGTCGATGTTAAACGCTAGAGAGATCTTGATAGTCATCTGCAGAGGTACTGGTTTGGAGATAGCTATCGGTTTCTGAGTAAATGGAGAGACATACCGATTCAAGTAAACTGTCGCAAGCTAATTATGCAGAATTGATGATTTCTAGACTTGCGCGCAAATCTCTAGCCTCAGGGCTCCAACTTTCCAATATGCAAAATGCCTTTCTCAATTCCTCTTTCCACCCTGGCGGAAGATTCATAGTATTAACTCTTGAGGCCGCCTTTATCGAGAGAGCAGCACTGGCTACCACACGCAAGGTATACCACGTGCCATGATGCCGATGGTGATAGGTAACGTCATTGATGGAGTCAATGCAGCTAAGCAAGCAGTCGTATGCTAGTGGCTCCACGGTTGATCTATGTTGTAGTAAGTCGGACTGAGGCGCATGTATCATGATGTAGAGCAGAGGCCGAAGAGCCCAGGAACGATAGAGGAGATATCTGCTTCGAACGTGTAACCCCAACTCATTTGACGATTCGGAGATCGGCAGAGCGACTTGCAGCTCACTGGGCAGGTTATCCATCCTTGCAACTCTGTTAGCCAGTCTGGAACATCTGTGACCTCTATAGATCGTTATATTACCATGCATCAAGCTTATCCAGGAGCTGCTGTGCTCGAACACACATACCAGGGATATCCTCTGTCCAATTCCCGGGTTCTTTACTATACATTGTGCTGATGATCTCGCTACCCACTCTGCGCAGGGAGGTTTCAGAGAGATAATACATCCAGCTTTTTAGTTGCCCCGCGTTGCCCCCGGAGTCTAAAGCGGTCGATGGTTCATTTTGAGCTGGGGGCTGTGGAAATGCATACGGGAAGGCTAGTTGGTCGAGCCCGACAGTTGTAGTTCGCAGCTCATTCGATAGTTCACTGATATTATGCTGTAAGGATCAAGAAGACATGGGAGCAACAGTAGGGGAATAGTAAAACTGGCACGACTTACCATTCTGACTGCATACACGACCAGTATAATCTTTGTAGTAGCCCACTATCCACAGATGGGTGAATTGGATACGAAAAGGTTCTTGAATGGATGTAAAGCTTGAGCTGAAGGCTTGCTTGACTGAAATGTAGCCAAGCGGCAACGGGGCGAATGCAAAACATTTCGTATACACCACAAAAGAATCGACATTGGGTTGTCAAGAGAGAGGCCGGTTGTAAGGCTAAAATCTGATTGCCCCTGCGGAACAAATGCTCAGCCTGGTCATTTGATGTATCTTGCGGCACATGTTGCGTGTTTCGGGACGGTACAAATGGTGACGAGCGGAGTCCTAGAGCACAAGCAATAATCTGCAGAAAAGGAGAAAATAAAAGTCAGTTTCTCGTCAGCCTTTAAGATCTTGGAACCAAAGTTTACCACAAGAGCAGACTCTCTACTTGTGTCGAAGCCATTTGCCGAGCAGCGACAAACTGCTTCGGCCAAGACGCGAGAATCTAGTATTGGATTTTTCGAATGAACGTTTTGTAAGAACATGTGAATGGCATATTCGATATCGAAATCATGCTCAACCTCCCGATTCTCGGGATTCTGCTCTGCTGGATTGCCTGGTGATGGATTGTGACCCGTCGAGTCCGAGTCAGTTATTGCTAATGACTGACCTTTCCTTAAAGACGTAAGGCTTTCAAATACTGGCCACTCAAGTATGCTCTCCATCACAGGATACTGAATGAGCATGGGTTGAGCAGAAGAATGAGATATGTTGCTTTTTTCGCATTGGCTTACCGAGTTAACCACCACTTCCTGTATCGAGGATGGGCACTGATTGGAAAGTGATAATGAATGACAAACCTTGGTATGTTCCCTAGGCGTTCTTCCAAGTGCCGCTCCAAACTATCCAACCTGTCTATGATATGTACACTTGCTGCATCGAAACTGGTACTGGTTGTTAGCGAACCATGCGGCATATCGGGCGTAAAGTTCTGAAACGAACTTGGAGTAATTAGAACGTTGATCTTCGTAGATACATGTCGCGCCAGTTTCCAGGCAGAAACTGCATGATGGCCGGCCGCTGTCACATTTGCTTTTGCGGCCACGGCAGACATTACAAGCCATAACAGCACGTCGCCGTGGATAGACACTCTCTACCCTCTGCCTTTTTCTTTGGGCTGCGATTGGAAGAGAAGGCGATACCATGCTGACTAATCACTTTAGTATCTAGCCTGTGACTGCTTGGATATACATGCACCCATGGATCGTCGGGGGTGCCGGTTGGTAAGAGGTGCCTGTTTATCGATTTATTTGAAGTGAAGACAAAGACCAAGGATGAGAGGAAGGAGCAGAGTGGAGAAACAGTATTGCGGGAATAGAATAACCTCTTTTAAAAGGAATATGTAGTTAAAGGGGTATTAAACTTAGCTGATATTACTACTTCTTTAGTATAACTTATATATTATTATTTTTATTATTAATTATAAGTAACATTTTAAGATACTTCTTATTTTTATTATTAATTTATTATTCTAATAAAGTTTAAATTAAAGAAAATATTTAATTAAAATTAAGTATTTTAAGCTCTTTTTTAATATATATAAATGGAATCATTTTTATATTTAATACTTGATTATAATAATAGAAATAAAGCAGGGTGTTCTTTATGGTTCTCTCTTTAAATAGTATAGCTTTAGTTTATAACTAATAATATAATACCTTTATAAGTAATATAACTCTTGTGCCTATATTTATTGCCTGTAATAAGGTTAAGTGGTCAAAAGAGGCTCTAGCATCCAGGCCATAAAGGTAAAGAACACCAAAAAAACACACCCAGGTAAAATACTTATTGCCCTTACTGTTGCCTAGGAATGCTTATTGCCATACTCCATACCAGGATTCATTTAGCTCAAGTTTTCCAGGAGGCTGACCTTGGAATTTTTGAGAAGTTCTGGCACGTTCAGGAAGGGAATTGGCGTTACAGTATGTGAATTTCTAGACGGCGCGCCCCCTTGTACCTGCGCAAGTCAGGATACTCTAAATAGCCATTTAGGAGCGGCGCAGCACTGAGATCTATTAATGATTGATTATCAATAGGTAGGACTAAGGCTTCTCGGGTATTTAGTTAACTACTACCTTATAATTATAGATACTTTGCGATAAATTTTACTATTGTCTTTCGTGCTTCTGCGCCTTCCGGTGACGGCATAAGCGGCCATACGTGAATCATCTCCTCTACCTCAACATACTTAAACCTCTCCAGCTCAACACTCCCTGCCACCCAGGCATCCATACCAGGAGATATACCGCCGTGGCGGAACCGAGCACTGAGACGTCTTGCGTCTGCGCATAGCATGTCATGTGTTCCGGAGAGGAGTAAAATTGGAGGCAAGTCTGCAATGTCGCCAAAGAGCGGGCTGATTCTGGGATCTGAAGCCGCTAAACCCCCACTGAACATATCCGAGACAACGTGTAAACCTTCGGGGCTAAGCCACGGGTCATTGGATCCCAATCTTTTGATCTCGGGGTGGCTGAAGGTACCATCCAGCGCAGGCGAGATCAGAACGAGTGATCTGACCTGGGATATGAGATCTGATTGCATGCGCACGAGATGCTGCGCGAGCAACATTGCCAAATTGCCTCCCGCCGAGTCACCGCCGATGCTGACGATGGGCTGCTTGATTTGGGCCATGATCTCGTGCAGTCCCCCGACGATTTGCTGAGCAGTGGCCGTGGGTCGAGGGATGAGAGGGTAGATAGGGACGAGTACGTCAAGCCCGGTGTCCCTAGCAATCTGCGCCACAAGCTTGTAATGCTGAGATACGATTTCATTGACGAAGGCGCCGCCATGGCAGTACAGCATCGCAGGGCGGTTGGTCTCATCTCCTTTTCCCGGAGAGAATGGCGAGGATGAAATGCGGTACAGAGGCCAGTTGTTTACATCAACGCGCTCAATGGCGATGTCGGAACCGAGGGTCTGCGGTGGCGAGAAGCTCTGCGGGCGGATGTATTGGGCTTGGATATGCTCACGCATGTTGCGCGCGGTCAGGAACTGTGTCTGACTGCGGCGAATCCATACTAGGTAGAACCGGAAAATGCGGGCAGCAAGCGAAACCATCTTGAGAGAGCAAACTGTGTCGATGAATAAAGGTTGAGCTTCGGTGTTGATGAAATCCCTGCTTTTTAGAGATGAACAGCAGCTGAAGAAATAGGATCCAAAACGATAAATGGTGTGAGTCTCCTTATGTCTCAGCGAGGCGCAACTTCCAACCATACGATATTAGACGATGTCATCGTCTGAGGGTCTCCGGCGCCCTAATGCAACCGCCGAGGAGGCCGAGAGCAGGCTAACCTCAAACATGCACAAGCGCGATCTCGCTTATGCAGTATGCCCCATATTAAGTTCCCTTAGGTCGTCTAGCCGCAAACAGTCAATCCTGATGCTCTAGGTTAGAATCAACCATATTTCAGCTCTTGTCTACACCCAAAGCTGTAGCCTACTGTAGCCACAGTCACATGCCCATAGCCCCAGACCCCCCGGATGGATCTATGCTGACGTAGCCTTGCATAATATTGATAAACATACTCGGTTAATTTTTGGATTGCGTTCTTTATGACTGGGAATCTTGGTGGCATTATGGCTACCGAGCTGAGACCCAGCGGATTACTGCCGCGCACAAAGACGATTGTGTCAGCTTGCGATAGCTGTAAACGGCGCAAACTCAAGTGCTCTGGCGAACAACCCTGCCAGCGCTGCCATGCAGGTACCATCGTGTGAGACGGACACTCTATCCACCCAGCAATACCCCCTGATATCAGCGAGCCTGATGAATTATCTACGCATGGCTAATTCGCTCTTTACCGAGTAGTTGCACCTATGGAAATTCGACTGCGCGGGCTAAACCGGTCGACTACATTCGCCATCTTGAGTCTAGGGTAGCGGAGTTGGAGGCGCAATTGGCGGGTTCGACTCTACACAACAATGAGCACTCAATTTCATCCGTGGGTCTCTTGGAGGCAAATCCACAAGCTGGTGCGAGTCAAACCCCCCCAGACGCTGTTGATACGCTCGTCGGACCCGGGGACGACTTGTTGTCTTCTTTCGACGGATCCGAGACCTATCACGGGGCATTCGCCAGCCTCAATGTCTTGCGGATTGTGAGAGATAAATGCGACAGTCTTGCAAACATCATGGCTCCTCTTTCCTCTGGTCGGGTTCTGGCTGAAGCGTTCGCAAAGGAAACTGTTCCGTCTCCCATTGAACAAGTGACGTCACTCGCCACTGAGCTACCGGAGCTGGCAGAGTGTCAGCGACTTTGCTACGTCGCCATCGAGGAAGCCCTGCCATGCCACGAGTGTATTGACCGCGAGGCGTTCTTTGCTCGGCTCATCCAGGTACATGCGAAACCGCAGAAAGAACTAAATCCTACTGATCATGCCTTTCTGGCGCTGATATTTGCATTGCTGGGATTCGCCAAGCGTTATGAGACAGATAATCACAGCACAACGGAGGCACACTCGAACCGCGACATTATATTACAAAGGTAGGAGAACCTTATGTAACCACCTGAAGTATCAAGGCTACCGTAGCTATTCCGGTTCCATGCACGGCCGTTGCTGATATGAAGCATAGATGGGGGTTCTATCAATCAAGTATCCAAATGCTCCAACTGGACGACCTGTGCAGTCTGGACATTCTAAGAGCCATCATATACCAGGTGCTTTTCTTAGCAGCAAATTGCATGCTATCTAAAGCCTATACACGACTCTCGATCGGAGTGGCCACCGCGCTTCGTATCGGTTTGCATGTGTCGGGGCCATCGTTGGATGCAGGCATTCAATTACCTGCGGAACGGATGTTTCGGCGGCGACAGGTCTTTTCGGTGCTCTATGCTCTCGACACCTACCTCGCCAGCACGTTGGGGGTACCAAAACTGTTCCACCAAGTAGACACCGACCAGATCCTCCCGCTGCGGGACGAGAACCTCCATGATCACGGTATCTCTTTCGTACGCCAAAATCCCCACACACCCGAGGCTGAAACTCTCGTCATTTGTCGGATTTTGGTAATAATGGCAGAGATACACAAGCGCCGAGATCCATTCGGCAAAAGCATCGCTTTAAACGGTACCGGCAGCACCTACAAACTGACGAGTCAGGATGTTGCTTCACTGGATGCCCAGCTCACCGAGTGGTATAATAGTCTGCCACCTGTTGACGAGATCCCTCCTGTGAGGCGGGCTTTACATGCCCAGTTGGCGATTCGTCATACGTATGCGATAACACAGATGGCTCTTCACCGGCCATTCCTGCATCATCTGACCCGCAAAGCGGACGATCAGAGCTTCTGCATGGAGGGATACGCATACGGTTCGCAATGTATTACTGCGGCCATGCAAACTGTATGGTAAGAGCTTCCTATTGTTTTCTCTTAATCAGAGCGCCGACACTTTTTCTTGTCTTTTTATCATTTTGTGATTAAGACCCTTTATCTAACTTATTTGGCGTCGTAGGTTACTCCAACGCCTGGATGATCAAGGACTCCTCCATGAGTCCATTTGGTTTTACATCTCCTCGCTAGCATTCGCAGCTAGCTCTTTGATCTTCTTCGTGCTGGGCAGTCCCTATTCCACCACCGTGAGGGATGCCACGCAAACAGCATTCAAGGCGCACGGGTTGCTGGAAAAGCTCGCGCAGAAGAATGAGACGGCGCAGCGTTGCTTTGAGTCAATTGACTTCTTGATGGCTCGGGCGAATCTGGATGTACATGAACAGAGATAAATAACACATAGCTAGGGAATACTGTATATACCTCAGAGATTATCAAACTAAGCTACTTTGCTGCTGCTTGCCATCAGCGCCACTCCGCTCAGTCACGAACTATGGCAAGGCCAGTATACGCATGCCCAGCGGACTCGTAAATCTTCTTCTTAGGTCCAGGAACAGTCTCGCACTGCCACAGCCTTCCCGCCAAGTCAGCAACATAAATGCAATCGCGTTTCTTGTCCAGTCGCAGGCCAATCGCCTCCCCAAACCCCTGAGCAATAATCTGTCTTCCAAACTTGCTCTCAGCGGCCGGTGGCTGTCCAACTATTGTTTTCTTGTTCAGCGTGTTACCCAGCGGCATCTCGCCTCGGTCAGTCCAGTAGAGCACCCCATTATCCTCGTCGAACTCAAGGTCAATTGGTTCCGGTAAGCCTTTGGCAATCAGCTCAATATCCCTGCGCGACGATGCGTCACTGCCTTCAGGTATATCGGTACTAGTAGAGAAGATTCTCCCATCGTTGCCCTTGGACGGACCTTTCTGAGTCCAGAACACCTTACCCAGCTTTTCGGACACTGTGATGCCGACAGGCCAGTTGGTCTGGTCTGCGGCCTTTTCAGGCTCTTGAGCGAAATCCCCTGTCTGAACAAGAATCTCATGCTCTGATCCGTCAAGGTTGCATCGATGAATGCGCAGCCCTTCGCGGTCACAGAAGTAGATCTTCTTGCTTCCCTGGCTGATGTGAAGCTGCTTAGGAGTATGGACGTGACCGCGAGGGACAACGGTACGGATATCGCTGCCGTCCAACTTAGCGCTATACACAGCTCCATCATTGTTAGGAGGGTAGCCCATGCAAGTCCAGTACATTCTATCACCGCACACATCAATGCCATCTGGGATAGTCTGTCCAGAGACCAGCGCGTTCGGACGAGCGTTCTTATTCTCAACCGAGAACTCCAGGATCTGACCACTAGAAAGGTAAGTCTCGGCCGTCAGCTCCCCAGGGCTTGCACCTTGGTAGAAGTTGAGGACCAGGAGCTTGGTCTTTTCTCCTGATGCGGGCACGGGATATAGTCCACCTTGATCGGATTTATTTCCAAGTTTTCCCTTGGCGACGTAATTCTCGTGCAGCCACTTCAAGGTGGTGTCGGGTAAGCCTCGTTTCTCAACATAGTTCTCCTCGATGTGCTCGACGGTATCGAGACCAACACTGTCTATATGACCCCTGTCAGAACTCATGTACGAAAAAGAAAAGATACCAAAGGGATGAGGAGGGGGATAAAGTTACTAGGACGGATGTTAGTGATTGTTTTCTATATCATGGATTGAGGGTATAATGGAACAGACGTACCCCATCATGGTGCAGGGGCCGGTTGGTGACTGGTACATATCCATCCAGACTTGGTCAATAGTCTGAGGGTCAGCAACGCCTTCGGCGATGACCATCAGCACTTCACGCTTGATAGATGCCCAAATGCGGTTGAAAATGAAGCCCGATGACTCCTTCTTGGCGGTAACAGGCTTGAGCCCGCATTTTGTCATTTCTTGCGAGAGGAAAGGGAAGATCTTGCTAGCGGTGCTTCCGGAAGTCATAAGTTCCACGATAAGGGCCTGAAAATTAGTAGCGGTTCTCTTTAGAATGCGAATCTCTTTTTCAAGATGATGGCCTACTGGCCAGGATCGCAATCTCTTAGCTAGTATGAACATACCTGGGGAGGCATCATGAAATGCGTGTTGAGGACGCGAGCCTTGGTGGATTCCTTGACTTTTCCCAAAAGCTCTCTTGACATAAAGGATGAGCTGTTAGAGGCCAGGATACAATCAGCTGGCGCTTGCTGCTCCAGGGCAAGGAAAGTATCCTCCTTGAGACTCAATATTTCCGGCACAGCCTCAAAGACAAGCCAGGTGTCCTTGACAGCGGCACCAAAGTCCTCGGTAGCCTCCCATGATCCTTTTTCGCCATGGGATATCGTGAGATAGTCTGTGATGTTTGCGTCGATATAGGCAATTGCATCTGCCCTCGACTTTTCAGATGGATCGCGGATGATAACGTGCCATCCGACACTTGCAAAACAAGCAGCGATTCTACGCCCCAAGACACCGCCGCCCAGGACGGTGATGGGTCGGGACGTGTAATCTTTAGGCGGCGACCAGGTCATTGTTGGCGCAGGGATTGGCAGAAATGGAGAAGGAAAGGTCTGGCCAGGAGGGTTCTTGTTAAACATATATATACTTTCTAGACATTCCCTTTTAGACATAGCGAGGGAAAGTTCATCCCCTCTACCTACGAATATTGCTTCTCGTATTCCGTCATGGTTCTCAAAAGCTACGAGTTAAGAAACGGCCCACACTGCAATCAGTCTCCTAAGTTGAGGTTTTGCTTAATCCACGCCCCCTCCTTCACCAGCCGAGAATTGTGGGGTAGGAGGCCAGTTCAGTGCTAGGAGGGCACAGAACCTTGGTGGCCTGAGGAATGCTTAGAGCGTCACATTCAGCTGCAGTGTGTTAGGTGCCGAAAAGGGACTTAATAAATTATAAATGTGTATCCCTGGGGATCAGGAAGTTTATTACCACGACCGTAGCTGTCGGGACGTAAGCCCACCAAGCCCACCTCGGAAGACCTCGGCGACTGCATTAGCGCCAGTCGATGCTAATCTTATCCACCCACCCGGCGAGCGCCGCCAAAAGTTCCTGGAATACTAACAACAAGATTCCTTGATCCGTCATGTCTCACTAAGACGTCATGCAAATTGAGAAGATTCCCTTGAGGGTAGCGGACCCTCATCAGTAAAAAGTCGGAGTTAACATATACTTTAATTCATTCAACTTAAGAGGCATTTCTCTCTTTAAACTCTTGAACGAAATCTCTGATCCTGCGCCCAATCCTCTTAGGCATATTAGCCTCTGTCTCTACATTCGCGCCGTCTTCCAACAACATTAATGCATCTGCATAAGGCTTCCACCCCTGGCTATTCCCAAAGTCAATTGCGACGGTCGGTTTCCTGCTCTGCGGCCAAAGGACAGATTTCCTATATTCCTCTGTCTGCAGCTGGAATAGCCTAAGGCAGGGACATGACACTATTTTGGCTCTTAAACCATATTCCCCTATGAGAAGCTCTTGTGTGCCCATTGCATAGTGAATACCAACTCCGGCGGCTATGAGAGTCAAGTCAAAGTCCTCGTCGTGACATTTGGAGAACGTGTAAGCTCCATATGTCACACCTAGACGAGACGAGTGACCAGGAAAGCTTGTGGCGCCTTTGAGAGGCAATGAAATAGTCGTTGGTAACTTGGTTGATCTGATGGACACCAAAAAAGCCCCTGCAGCTTCTTCGGCGTCGCATGGGCGGATATGGAAGGTTTCGGGCCTTGTCCTCCCCGGCCTCGAACGCCTGTCTGGCTGCTGTGAAAAGTCATCCCTTCTGAAGGATCTGCGTTCTCTTCTCCGGGACCACTGCTCAGCTGGTAAGGAAGATATTGGTAGAGGCATCGGGCTAGTAAATGCACGTTGGTGTTGAGTTATGGTACCTGATCTGCCGGCAACGTGGCACCAGAACTCCCTGGCGACCGCTGGGTACAGCTCCCTGTATTCCCTCATCCTCACCAGCCAATCGGTCTCGTAAAGCTTGCTTTTTGCTGATACGTTTAGGAAGATATCGTAAAGCTCTTGTGGGAGATGGAGCGGATTGTTGTTGAGATGAGAGTCTACTTGGTGTGACGAGGAACGGTTTGGCATTTGGATACTGACCAGGGTTGGCGCGTTGCTTCTTCTTGATTTGTTGAGGGCCATATATATGGCTTTGCTTGTATTAGAGAATAGGTCAGTCATCGCGGAAGGCACCCTGGTAGAACTTACTGGCGATAGTCAAGTTCTCGTCATTTACCAGTTTGATTACATCCCAGCCATGCGTCTTGAAGTTGTTAACTTCGAGATTATTGCTTATTGAATCATACGTGCTATCATAAATGACACAGAGATTCCTGAGCTTCCAATTACCGGCAAGAGCGACTGCTTCTAGAGCACTGCCCTGCTGGAACTTGGGATCATCAATGATGCACCAAATCATATTGTCTACAAGCTCCAGATCTGGTTTGTTGTAGAGCATCGTAAGGTTTTTCAATGCAATTGCCTGGCCTATAGCACTCTGGATTGCTTGATTTGAGTGACAGTGAGGAGTTGTTGTTCTAGAAAAGACGCTGGCAATATCTGGAAGGCCGACGGCGATACCCTTTGCTGCGATGAGATGCTTAAACAAGCCTTTCCATCTGCCAGCATAATCTATAGGAGGCATGTGAGCTGGTGCAGAGAAACAGCTAGCTAGACACTGGCAATAAAACCTACGTCCTGACACGACTAAACGATCCCGATTAAAGTATGGACTGTCTTCTGGTGCGTATCTCATCACATACTTAAACAGAGCTGTTCCAATAGAAGCCTTCAACCTGGAGGATCTACATGAGTAATTAGATAAACGTCATCCCAGCTGTTACCTTTGCGATGGGACTTACTCATATCCTTCTTTATTTGATTGCGAAATGAGACCAGTGAGCAGCTTCAACGATCTATCTAGCTCTTGAAGCTCATCAGAGGAGCTACCACTGGCCCGAAAACTACCTGAGGCTTCAGTGGGAGTTTGATGCATCATGGGGTTATAGTCAAAACACAAGAGAACTGTGGCAAGGTGAAAAAGAAAACCAGTAGTCAAGAGTAGAATGGTAATCTTGTGATCTGCTTCTCCCATCTATGATCTATCTATCCATTATACAGTCTCTTGTATCACTTGTCCATGAAACCAGTTTAGTTCACACCGTTGACAGGCTCGTCACTTGTCACCTTTGAGTGTCAAACTTCCCATGCTCATGACAGTCGTCAGGTCAACGCGCAAATTTAATTGATCAAAGCAAAGAAGCATGGGGCGAGCCTCGCTTCGAGGTGGGCTCGCAACGAGGCCATTCGCCAGTTGAGCTCTTACTAATGACCGACCAGGGGTGGTGAGGTACTCGTCGGGGGCTAGATCTGGAGCCGGGCTCGTGTGAGTGAGAAGGGTCAAAGATTCGCCGCACTTTGCCCCTCATAAGCTCTGAGATGGCTCTTTTAAGGCAGTTTTAATTCGTTAAAGGTCCTCGGCCCTGACATATCTGGCCGATGCCATCATTGCCGGGGAGACAGCATAGAGTTTGGCGGGGTTCAAAGTATCGGCTTCATTGATCAAGTCTCACACCGACATGCATGCAGGGTACGAAGAGCTAGATTCATAATGTTGTTTTTGCCGTGGAAAGAAACCACCATATCCTACTGTGTTTTCCCGCTACTTCCACAGATATCCATCCACCGCTCAACCTCGGCTTGGAGCACAGCCATACCGCCATCCATGAGCTGCATCAGTGGCTCTTGGGCATGCTCTCTGACATAGGTATTCCAACCCTCTAGGATAAGCTTGTTGATGTTTAATTTAACTGCACCGCTCTGAATGCATCGTTGCATAATCTCAGGCGTAAAGTCGTTTGTACCGTGGAGCGCCATTATCACGCGACTGTTGACCTGGGTGTTGACGCTGGATAAACGATCAAAATCGAGTTGAGGACCCGCTGGGCCGTAGTCGCCGTGTATGTTACCTATGCTCGGCGCAAGAAGGTCGATTCCGGCTGCTAGAAAGTCTTCAACTACTCTGGGCGTGGTGAACAGTGCTTATGATAAACCATCAGTATCCAGCTTCCTCGTATAGGTATTGGCTTGGTGTCGCTTTACTTACCCTCCAGAGATCCCGTGTCGGCAATCCCCTCTTCTCCCCCGTTGATGCGACCACTTTCAGCCTCAACAGCGATGCCGTGATCATGGCAAGTCCTCGTCAAGACCTTTGTCTTTCCTAAGTTCTCGTCGTGGTCATAATGGCTCATATCCACCATAATCGAGTCAAACGGCAAAGTGGCAGCAATTTCTCGGATCTGCGCTTCGTCCTGCGCATGGTCTAGATGGAGCGACAGTGGTACTGTTGCTGCCTTGACTGCTGCTGCTGCTGCCCATGCCAAAGTCGGGAGCTGTTTGACAGTTGAAGGGAAGAGCAGAAGAATAAGGGGTGATCTTTTGGCTTCGGCAGCGCGAACTAGCGCTGTCAGGTGCTCGATGTTGTAACTGAACAATTAAATTGCGCATGAGAATAGTTCATTTGAGTCGGAATAAGGAGCACCCACCAAATTATAGCCAAGACACCATACCTGCCCGCGGCCGCTGAGCGGAGGATCTGCAGGGTGCGGTTCTGCTTCTGAACATCCGGCCAGGAATCCATTTCTGCTGTTTCTTCTTGCTCACGGATGAGTGGAAGAACGATTAGATACCGAAATTCTCCTATTACTTTTTAATATGACACTCACGGGAATCAAGACCCTGGGCTTCCATACTTTCCATACTGCTTATCCTCGATACGGGCTAGCGTAAGCCGAGGGTGGGGCTGTCCTCGAGACGAGAGCACCATCACCTCGAAGCGAGGTCATCTCCTTTCACGCTGCTCACGCTCGCTACCTTCTCGCGCACGTATACCGCAACAGAAAGCCCTATTGGAACTGAATTCGGGATCGTCTCGAAGTGCGTGAATCTGGTCACCAACTACACAACGGCAGCTCGCCTTGGTCAGACAATGATCGTGATACAATGTCTAAGTATATCTAAGCCGGCAGCTGGCGATGAGTTTCCAGCTCCAAATTCACAACATCATCTCAATATCATCAAACAACGATTCCCACTCACCGATACATCATGGCTCCAACGCTAGAACTCAACGAGAGGGCTGCTGTTGACAAGATTCTCGTTAAGTCCCTCCCCAAAAATGGCAGCACTAGCACTGCTCGCCTCGAACTTGAGAACCCAGAGAAGCACGACAGGGTTCTGAAGGTTTTTAGAGCTTTCATCGCGGACCTTTGCCAGCATTTCAATGGTGGACACCCTGGGTAAGTGATGGCTTCTATAATCTTGATCATGGCACTGACCCTTCAGCTCCGCTATGGGTATGGCAGCCATTGGTATTGCCCTCTACAAGTACGTCATGAGGTACTCTCCCAACAATTGCGAGTACTTTAACCGTGACCGCTTCGTTCTGTCCAATGGTATGTCATATCCACCAACTCGCAGTGAGACTCTCTGACCAAGATCAAGGACATGCCTGTCTGTGGCAATATCTGTTCATGCACCTTGTCGGTGTTAAGAGCATGACCCTCGAGCAGCTCAAGTCATACCACTCGACAAAGACCGATTCCCTCTGCCCCGGCCATCCAGAAATCGAAAATGAGGGCGTTGAGGTTACGACGGGCCCCCTTGGCCAAGGAGTCGCTAACGCAGTTGGTCTCGCCATGGCAACCAAAAACCTTGCCGAGACATATAACAAGCCTGGCTTCGAGTTAGTGAACAACATGACGTGGTGCATGATCGGTGATGCCTGCCTACAAGAAGGTGTTGGACTAGAGGCAGTCTCCCTCGCTGGTCATTGGAGACTTAACAACCTCTGCATTATTTATGACAACAACTCAATTACTTGTGATGGCACTGCTGATGTTGCCAATACTGAGGATATCAATGCAAAGATGGAGGCTACCGGATGGAATGTACTGAATGTCTTTGACGGAGATTCAGACGTGGCTGGTATGTTTGCGAGTGTCCCCCTTGAATACGCTCCAACTCATGATATCCAGGCATCGTCAAAGCCCTCATCGCGGCCCGATCAAGTGATAAGCCGACCTTTATCAACATTCGAACAACTATCGGCTTCGGATCTACCGCAGCGGGTAACGCAAAAACACATGGAGCAGCTCTCGGCGTCGACGACGTGGCCAACATCAAGAAGTCGTTTGGCTTAGACCCCAATGAGCATTTCCACATCCCACAAGATGTCTACGACCTGTTCGCAGATGTTCGTGTCCGCGGCGATGCCTACGAGGCCGAGTGGCTCCAGACCGTTCAGAGATACAAGAAAGAGGATCCCGTGCTTGGGACAGAATTCGGCCTTCGTGTCTCTGGGATGATGCCCGATGATTGGACGAAGTGCATCCCCAGCAGGTCAGAGCTTCCAATTGAGCCCACGTCATCGCGAAAGTCTGCAGGTATTGTAACAAATATCCTTGGAGAGAGGATCAAATCCTTTTTGGTTGGAACCGCGGACCTGACTCCTTCGTGCCATGTGGCCTTCAACAACAAGGTCGACTTCCAATCGGTGAGTGCAAAAGAAGGACAGAGAGTATTGAGAAGAATTACTAACGCACATGTAGCCTGATCTGCGAACCGCTTGCGGTCTCAACGGAAACTACAGTGGCCGCTATATCCACTACGGCATCCGCGAGCACGCCATGTGTGCCATCTCCAACGGCCTCGCTGTATTTAACAAGGGCACCTTCATCCCAATGACGAGTTCATTCTTCATGTTTTATCTGTATGCCGCCCCAGCCGTTCGAATGGCAGCCCTCCAGGGACTCCAGCAGATTCACATCGCAACCCACGATAGCATTGGTACCGGCGAGGATGGACCGACGCATCAGCCAATCGCCCTACCAGCTCTCTACCGAGCCATGCCGAATACCCTATACATTCGTCCATGCGACTCTGAGGAGGTGGCCGGTGCTTTCATCGCTGCTATCCAGGCCACTGAGACACCGACCATCATCTCTCTGTCACGACAGAACCTGACACAGTTCCCGCAACACTCTTCTCGGGACGGCGTGAGCATGGGCGCATACGTTTTTGTCGAGGCCGACGATGGCGACTTCGACGTGACGCTCATTGGAGTCGGTTCCGAGATGGGTCTCACGATGCAGGCTAAGGATGTGCTTCTCAAGGAGCACGGCATCAAGTCAAGAGTGGTTTCGTTTCCCTGCCCCAGACTTTTTGAGCAGCAATCGCGACAGTACAAGCAGTCAGTGCTAAAGCCTCGCTCCGGAAAGCCTACCGTGGTCATTGAGGCTTATGCCGCGAATGGATGGGAGCGGTACGCTGATGCATCCATGTCCATGAGGCGATTTGGAAAGAGCCTTCCATCCAGGGCGACTTACGAATACTTTGGATTCCAGCCTCATAATATTGCAACTAAGATCAGGAATCTGGTGGATGAGGTTAAGAGAGATGGGATTGAGATACTGAGGGGTGATTTTAGAGATCTCAATGGCAGCTTGGGAGTTGGATTTGAGCATTAAGGGTTGTTCATTATTGTTCGTTATCCTGCTTGATTGTTTCGCTTGTGTAGTTAAGAACAAAGATAGCAAAGTGGTTTAAGTCTTTGCTTTAGCTCTGGCGGTCTTCCTTGCCCTATTGCGCTAAACTATAAAGGTGCAAGCGGGTAGCAAAGAATCGGATCATAATCTTGACTCTTCGCAGCATGGGATCTCGTCATCTAGGTTCTGATCTAAATTTGGGTAGCTAGTAGCAGTGATCTAAAGACCCACTAAGGCTATACTAAACCTGCCTAAGTTATCCTAAAGTTCCCTAAACCTTGTCATCACATTTTATTGACAAGGCAGTATGAGCAGTGACACTGGGGGACGGCGGGATGCTTAGTTTCTGGATCTCCATCCCATGGTAACTTAGATCGAAATTCGTTTATGTTAGTGGAGAAATGCGGGGGAACTTCAACGCTATGCCCAACTCGTCCCAAGTTTTATGAATAAATGGAGCTGATGCCCTCGAGACGAGACCCAGACAGTTTGTCATAATCCATCGTTTGTCAATGGATACAAACAACAACTCCAGACGATTTCGCCGCCATAGGCCGTCCAGGGCTCGCGGCTTGAGAACTTCAACCGGCTGGTAGGTGTTCATTTGCTTACTCCCACTCAATTAGCTAACCTTGGCCTTAATACCGCTGACACTACCCTACAGTCTCACGTGTAGAAGAAGACGCGTCAAGTGTGACGAAGGCAAACCCAGCTGTATCCAGTGTTCCAAATCCGCTCGAGAATGCACTTATGCCCAGTCGCAACGTGGAATTGTGCAAGTGGGTCAGGACATCTCCGAAGCAGCCGACGTTCGTGGTGATGCAATCCCTGGAGCATCCTGTACAGAAAACAGCGAAACTGGTGGCTTCAGCGTGGCTCACCAAACATGTGATGCTGAGAATGGCCCACCCAGCATTGAGGGAACAGCCAGCTACCAGGATGACTTCCAAGTTCTAGTCCAACCTTCTGTCACATTCCACCTCCACGACTCCCGCAACATTCCCGACATTCCCCAAGACGACCAGTCAGAGAAAAGTAGTGATGGAATTTTACCCAATATTGACTTTGACCTTGCTGCGTCTCCGTTAGCCAGGAGCCAGGTCTCGCTCCTCAACATCTCGCCCTTCGAATGGTACGACCTCCTAGCGCAGGATGCCATCTCTCAAATCCAACGATTAAACAATGCTTCAAATGGCGAACCACGATGGAACTTTGACGAGAGCACACTCTCTCGCCGGCAGTCACCTGCCCCGAGATCTATCGATACCGAATCCTACACACAAGATCGTAACGGCAGTGGTCTCGGAGTGTCCTTGGTTAATGACGACTCGGCCAACAAACCATGGAACACCTCGGAGAGCATCAAGCTCTCGCCGGCCGACCTTCGCTTTTTTCGTTACTACACTGAGATCGTTGGACCCATAATCGATCTATTTGATCAAGAGCGTCATTTTACCAATGTCGTACCTCACCTCGCGCTACGCAACTCGGGGCTATTGAAGGCAATACTTGCAGTCGCAGCCAAACACATGTCTCTTGGCGTCAAAGTAGGGCAGGTACAGAGCCATGGCGGAACCTCGATCGAAGGAGGCTCATCGTCGCCGGAGGAAACTGCAGGCAGTAGCCAACAAGCAGAACAGAGTCAAATACCTGCGCATATGGCCACACAGTACTACTACGAGACCCTCCAGTATCTTTCGCAGACTCTACTCTATCCGTCGTATGCAGAATCCCACGAGATATTGGCCACGGCTATAATGATCAGCACATATGAAATGTTTGACGCTGGTGGGACTTCGACAAGCGGCAACTGGGAACGCCACCTACGAGGTGCTTTCTGGATCCAACGTTCTCAAGACAACGATGGCGAGTCAGTTGACGGGCTGAGACGAGCTGTGTGGTGGGCGTGGCTTAGACAAGATATTTGGGCTGCGTTCCGAGCGGGGAGACCGACCCTTACTATCTGGCGTCCTAAGAAGAGACTCGAAGATCTCGATTCTGACGAGCTTGCTACGAGAATGGTCTACGTATGTGCCAAGTGCGTTGAGTTTGCAGCTCTGGACAAGACCTCGCCTAGTCAAGACATACAACAGAAGATTGAGCATGGTAACAGACTTCTTCAAGCCCTCGAAAACTGGTACCGTGTCCTTCCTTACTCGTACAAGCCAGTCATGGTCACGACGGAACCCAACACCATGAACCGGGCATCCTCAACTTCCGAGTCTCAGACAAGGTTCCAGCCCATATGGTTTCACCCGCCCAACCACGCCGGTGCCATGCAGATGTATCACTTTTCCAAGGCCATCGTACTTCTGAACCAGCCTTCAACCGGCGGCCTCAACGCATACCGTCAACGTCAAAAAGCCCTTAACGAAAGCCTCCATATGGTTTGCAGCATCGCAAATGCCTGCCAAAAGGGCGAGCCTGCGATGGCCTTTGTCAATGTCCAGGCTATATTTGCTGGTAAGCGGCACATCCCTGTTATGAATCGCTGACTGACCGGTCTAGTCGGCCAGTGCGTGCAGATGCCAGAGAAGCAGGCTGCACTCCTTGATACTTTGGATAGGATGTTGGAGATTAGCAAGTTCCCTGCTGCAGGGATAGTAGCGGATCTTAAGCGCATGTGGCAAGAATAATATGCTGTTCTACGACTACTGTAAAGCCGGCTTGAGGGTGTTGTCCAAGCTGGTTACATCTGCAACTTCAAACAGAGATTCCGATAAATCTGGTTAAACCGGGGGAAATTGGTCCATCTCACTCTTTTATTGTTACCGTGCATGAATCTAGATCTATCAATGGGCCCTAGTTCTAACCTCTCACCATGCCCCGACAATTCCAGCAACCGGGATATCAATACCAGTCGTGTATGAAGCCCCGTCAGAGAGTAAGTATACATATGCACCCCCGAGTTCTTTCGGATCAGCCAGCCTCGGCATACCACCATAATACTGCATCTTGAGATCCCAATCAGGCGCCTGGTCTACAAAGTAAGTCATAGCCGTCTTAACAAAGCCGGGCGAGATAGAATTAACTCGGATGCCGTGTTTAGCCCACTCCATGGCTAGCGTATGTGCCATATTACGTACAGCGCCCTTGGTGGCTCCGTACGGGGCCGAGGGCGCTGCGCGGTTTGGACGGTACGAGGTCATAGATGCTGTGAAGACGATGGAGCCTTTGATGCCTAGTTCAATGAACCGCCGTGCGACAGTCGTAGCGCAGAAGTATGCACCGAATACATTGAGGTTGAACAGCTTATCCAGCTGGGTGCGGTCAAAATCGAGTGCCGGCCGGTGTTTCGTCATACCGGCGTTGGCGACGAGGCCATGGATGGCGCCTCGCTTGGAGATGATAGCATCGATAGCTGATGTAATACTCTCCTCGGAGGTGACATCGCAGTGTATATAGCCGAGTCGCTTCGTGTTCGCGGCCTGAAGGGCGAGAAACTCGTCGCCGGGCTCGAAGAGGTCCAGGCTAAAGACGGCGGCAGCTTCGTTGGCTAGACAGACCTCTGCGATGCCTAGACCAATACCCCTGTTGGCGCCGGTGATGGCGATGACCTTGTCCTTCAATGTTACTCTCCAGTGGTGGTCAGGGCCTGGCTGGGTGCTGAGAAATGTCGGTGAGGTCTCGGTAGGTGTGCCTGGTATTGGTATTGGGGATGGGGCGGTGTCCCCATTGCTAGGGACAATGGTAGGGGTATCAAGTGCGCTGGGAGACATTGTATAGATTTTGTTTATTGTATGTGGAGCTGGGTTGCTCAAAACGTATAAACTTGTCTGGAAGTAATGGAAAATGATCTTTATTGTTCGAGTGGTAGAAGGGGGCTAAATAGAACTCGTTCAAGTAGGCGGAACGCTACGCGTCTTGTTCTTATGCGTAGAGTAGAACGGAAATCTTGCCACAGGAACAATGGATCAGCCAAGCATCCCTATGAAGATACGGATAGTCTCAAAAGACTTGGCACGCGAGGCCACCGAGACGAGGTAACAAGGTTACATTCATCACGCATCCTTGGCATGGTAGGCCCTCGTAACGACACCATCCATGTTCGCTTCGAGGCCAGCCTTCGCCTCGACGTCATGCATCACCCGTCTCGGCGTCTCCATCACTTCCGTAACGAGATTAGACTCCCCCATACCCCATGGGGAATTAGTCTCCCGTCCCCGCACAGAGGATGGTCTTTCCAACGGCAATGTCCGTTACTGGGTCAAACACAACTTTTATTGTGTGCTGTGTTCTATAAGTTTGCCGATTGCCACCACAACTCCTCAATTTGATCCAATGCAATCAACCACCCGAGCAATCGAACATAAGTTGATTGATGATCATCTTTGCACCACCTAGGTTTCCATGATAGTTTCAAACCCGGCAACATGGCAGCATCCAAGACTAGTACCGAGGCTGTCGACCAGAAAGACTTTCTCGAAGGTCCCGGTCAAGTCACCGAGCATGTCGAAATAACCCAAGCCGTCACCTGGACCGCAGAGGAAGAGAAGAAACTTGTCCGTAAGATCGACATGTTTCTCCTGCCGAATATTTGGCTCATGTACTTACTCTCGTACATGGACCGAACCAAGTGAGTCAACCTTACGTAACGACACGAGTGGCTCTAATCATGTTCCAGCATCGGAAACGCAAAGATCGCCGGCATGGCAGATGATCTTAAACTCACCTCGTCCCAGTACAGTATTATTCTCGTCGTCTTCTTCGGTAAGTTTCTCACCCGTCACTCTAGGACTAATCAGCTAACATTGTCAGTTGGTTATGTTATCTTTGAACCGCCGTCCAACATGATCTTGGTTCGGACCCGACCGTCTTTATACCTTCCTGCCATCATGATTGTCTGGGGTGTGCTCACATGCATCATGTCTGTCGTCCAGAGCTACCACCATCTCATCATCCTCCGAGTCTTTGTCGGTGTCATGGAATCAGGCTTTGCTCCAGGCATCCTACTTATCCTTTCATCCTGGTACAAGCGAACTGAGCAGTCAAAGCGATTTGCAGTCTTCATGTCAGCTGCTATCTTGTCCGGGGCCTTTGGTGGCCTTCTCGCAGGCGCCATTACCGGCGGCCTTGAGGGCGCCCATGGGATTCGGGGGTGGCGCTGGCTTTTCATCGTGGAGGGCGTGGCTACCATTGGTTGGGCCATCATTGCCGCGTTTTTGCTTCTTGACTTCCCAGTCAATACCAAGCACCTGACAGACCGTGAGCGAGCGATCGCGATTGCTAGACTCCAGGAGGATAGTGTTACCGTAAGGGGCCAGGGCGAAAAGGTCGGCAAGATACAGTCGCTTGTCCTTGCGTTGCGAGATTGGCGGACTTGGGGTTTTATCTTTGGCTACATGGTATGCTTTTGCACTGATAATAATTTGTTCATTGAAACGTACTGACTCTATTCAGGTCATTGTCGGTTCCTCGACCCTTTCTTATTTTTATCCTACTTTAGTCCATGGCCTTGGCTACAGTAGCACTGTTCAAGCGCAATATATGACGGTAAGAGGACATCCAAGGGCCGAGGAAACGTTGAGACCAAGCTAACCAGTCTAAAATTAGGTTCCCATTTACGCTGTTGCATTCGTGTGTACCGCCATCAGCGGCTACTTCGCCGACAGGATCTCGAACTACCGCGGCCTCATCATCGCCGGATGGCTCAGCTTCTCGATGATAACATCAATTGCAGTTTGTGTGGTCTACAACTTTACCGCCCGGTATGCGCTACTTGTTCTCATGGCTGCAGGACTGTGGGCATCCAATGCTATATCACTGAGCTTTGCAGCCTCAACATTCGGGTCTATGGACGCCGAGGTTCGAGCTGTTGCGCTAGCGCTCATGAACGCTCTGGGTAACCTTGCACAAATCTATGGCGCCTACCTGTTCCCTTCTGATGATGCACCGAAGTATCTTATGGGCTTTGGCGTTATTTCCGGTATGTTGGGTTTTGGCGTTTGCGTTTACATTGTTATGCATGTTCTTGTCCGACGATTGAAGCCATGAGTAAAGGATACGGTGCACTATGGCTTTCAACGCCCACTTAGGAGCTAGTGATATGATACATAGTTGATTAGGCAACTATTTCGAATAGATAATAAGAAATAAGAAGAAGCTTATAGCACATAACGCTTATGTATTGATGAAGACCAGGAGTTTCTCGGTGAACAGAAGCTATCGTGTAGGAAATTTCTGAGCTCTGCAGAACCAGCCGAGAGACGAGATGTTTTTTCTCTACACGTTCTATCACTATCATAGTGGCCAATTCGAACGCTTCCAACCCATGACAGTATTTCACACTGTTTCCTACTTATCTGGAACTGGGGCACGGCCTAGAGTTACCTTGACCAAACTCAGCTCAGTCGCTGGATTCTTACCACCTGATTCCGTAGAAACCTTGGAATTTCCAGTCTCAACGCTGTCAATAACAGGATGTTGCCGAACGCGCTTGTAAGCATTAAACCAAGAACCTTTGAACAGGTAGTCGATCTCTTCAACACTCAGGCCCGAGATCTCTGGAACCATAAAGAAAACGTATATCAATGCAAGAAAGCACCAACCAGCAAAGAAGAGAAATGCTCCCCAGTTATTAGTTGTCTTAAGGAGCGAAGGAATACTGTATTTGACGGCGTATATGAAGAGCCAGTGGAAGGTTTGGCTAACAGCCCCGCCGAAAGAGCGAAGACGGTTGGGCCAGAGCTCTCCTCCAAAGATGTAAGGAAGAACAAATAGACCTACAGAGCACGGTCAGTCACTGTCATCCTATGGCTTTTAATTAGAGAAATTGATTAGGGAACGTACCGACCGCATACCCAAAAGCGTGGAAGAAAACAGCGGCAATAGCAGCTTGAGATGCAGAGGAGGATACAGGACCTTCCTGATGGTACTTGATGAAGACTCCGATGTACACATGTGAGATAAGTTGCAGTGTTATACCGATGAAGAGAGATCGGCGTCTTCCGAGGGCATCAATAAAGAAGAACGACGCAACCAGACTGAATATGAACTTGGAGAAGCCATACATGCCACTCAAGAACATACTCTCGGATGTACCTCCTCGTATGCCCATGATGCTCATAATAGGGATGAAATATGATGTGACTGAGTTCGCACCTGAGAGTTGAGCCAACGCGTAGCAAAGCAGAGCTTGTTGGAGGCGACGTAGGTTAGAAGGAACAGTAAACGTCTCCTTGACTATTCCGGCGAAGCTGGATCCTATTCCGGTGACAGAGTCTTCGATGTCCTTGATTTCCTTCTGTAGTCGAGGGTGGTTCGCTGGCAGACGTCGTAGGTCTACCAGGACAGCCACAGCTTCTTCCCGCTTACCAACCATTATGAGCCACCGGGGAGATTCACTAACGAAGAAGCTTGCGACAATAGCCAACGCCATAAAAACAGCCGGTAAGAACCAGACTATCTGGTATTGCAGCTTGCTGAAGGGCATATGCAAGAAAATTCCATATACGGAGAAAATTGAGGTGAACAGGGCGACTCCCATTACAACTGTGTACCAAGCTGTGAGCAGGCCCCGAATCTCGCTGGGTGCGAGTTCGACGATTGACATCGGCCCAGTGACACTCAAGGAGCCGATACCGATACCGGATATAATTCGTGCTGTATATAAGGCAGGCCAGCCAGGCGCAAGAGTAGCGATGACTTGACCGACGATCCAGATAGCCGTGTAGAAACGAAACGACCAGCGACGGCCTATGCGGTCGTTGATAAGGAATGACAATGCCGCACCAATGGCATACCCGATATAGATAATCGAGATGAAGTTTTGGATATCATCGGCTTTGGCACCTGACTCGATGTGGAATTGCTTTTGGAAGCCTGGGAGCGATGGGACAACAGAAGATGATCCTTGGTCCCAGGCTTGATATTGTTAGCCTCATCAACATGCAAGAGCGATTTCAAGACGGTACAACTTACTTGTCGGAAGGCCGGCTAGAGCATAGACTGCGCAGGAGAAGAGAAGGGTTCGATTGACGATTAAATCCCGTGGAGTTGCCTTGATGGTTCGAACATATCTTGCGAGAACTGACTCAGTAAAGATCTTGGTGATGGCCATGGCTTATGATGTATGAGACGATATTGGTGAGGTGGTTGGAGAAAATGATATTGAGATTTCAGGCATCATGGAGATCTATTATACCCTGATAGTCCGCATCTTTATCTCCTTCATCTCAAATTACAGCTTCTTGCTTGTCTGACAATCTGATCGGCAAGGAGCCGCTACTTGATAAGCCAAGTCTACCCTGCCGAGGAAGACCCGGAAGAATACGAGCGCCAATCGGAAGCGACCAAAATAGCTCGAAATGTACACATCGTCCGGAAGCGTCCGGATTAACACTGACACTCAACTTCGGCCATACCTCCCTCCTCAAATGCTAGACCAAACACATTCAGCCCATCAAATTTCTTATTTGGGTTGAGATGCAGCAAATCGCAAACAGAAGCCGGCGAACTGGGCCTTTCAGGCGACGCCGCGTCCCTGGCAGCAGAGCACATCAGGCTTGCATCCACTGCAAAGATAAGAAACTCAAGGTATGACCAACTTTGGTTGCATTGGTGATGGCTATAGTGATGCTGAAGTGCTGTAGTGCGATGATAGAACCCCTTCTTGTAGTAATTGCGAGCGTCTGGGCATAAGTGAGCGTTTTCGCAAGACCTGGCGATAATAGAGCAGCTAACTAGACGGTCAAAACAGCTTGCCTGGTCTTGGATCCACAGACCAAAAAGTCACGACCTCGAAATTATCTTGAGATGCTTGAGGGACGCGTTGCTGGCCTCCAGGGTAATGATCACATTACTCCTCCTCAATCCACTCCAGCTGAAGGAAGCAACGGTGAGAGCACGTCGTCAATCCCTCGTACACCCGAGGGTCGAGATGGGGCCAGCGACTTGTCGTCCAGAGTGGGCATGCTGGACTTCCGCGCCAGCCAGACAGAGCCGCAGTACCTAGGATCATCATCATCTTTCGCCTTCTCTCGAATCATTAGCCTTTCCCTCAGCAGTAACCTCCCAACGGCGCCCGAGCTTACCCAATTAAGCGATAGGCGCAGCTCGCCGTCTCCATGCTTGCTACCAGACTATGAAGTTGCCGTTAAGCTAAGCGATGCTTACTTCAAACACATACATCCCCAGTATCCATTCTTACATGAACCGACATTTAGAACTTGGGAGGCAATGCTGTATGATGCGTCACCAGACTTTACTGAGACTGGGCTCCCTTTCACGCCGTTATTCTTTCTTAACATGGTAGGTTATAGCGTCTTGTTCGTCGTAAATCCTTAAACTTTATTACTGAGAAGTCTCTTACGCTCCAGGTATATGCCGTTGCTGCGTTACTCACACCAAGCACTCAATCCTTAGCTGGCGTAAGTCATGATTCCTTCTCCCTCAAGCCGGTCAAGCGGGGGTTAACTTTCTTTCCTGTAACAGCAACTCTACATCGCTGCTCAATTATATGCCGATGTATTATCTAAGGATAATATTGAATCTATCCAAGCTCTACTATGCTATGCTATGTACTCTCTTCGCTCCCTAGAAGGACCATCCTTATGGTAGGACTCTTCAGGTTCCCCAAACTAGAACATACTGATACTAGTGTTAGGAAAGTCTCTGGCCTGGCGCTACGGCAGTGCATTGAGTTAGGTTATCACCGCGGGGTCAAGCAGTTTGCACCAGCCGCAAACACGCTCCAACGAGAGATGCGAAAGAGGGTTTTCTGGGTTGCTCAAGGGATAGACTGCACTGTTGCGGTTCGGCTAGGACGACCTTTGGGCATTCCGCCTCAAGAAATTGATGCCGAGGTAGGATACATCTAATCTCCAATAATTCATTCTCTCCTCATGCTCATCTTACATTTATAGTTCCCGTCAGATGTGGATGATTCTGCTATCCCACAGACAGATATCTTGGGGCCAGCAAGGAGCCGTTCCAGCCAGTCACCAACAGGGATGTCTACCGCTATCCACGTCTTTAAGCTACGTTACATCTGGGCCCGTATACATACGTCACTGCTTTCAGACACCATACGCCTAAGCATTGAGGATCACACATATCATGCTCGAATCCAACAGCTAAGAGTAGATCTGGATACGTGGTTGGCAAGTGCTCCCGAAGCACGTGGCCATGTAAGTGACGACCTGTCTATCTTTGCCAAAAGAGCATGGTATGAAACAAACTACAGCCACACAATACTTCTACTCTACAGGAGTCAGCTTAGAGAGTATAAAGAATGCCTCAACAAGGTCTTTGAGGACTGCATCGAGGCGTCGAGAAACATTTGCCAAACCTATCGTCGACTATACATAGGCACTTCTATAAGGTACACATGGGGCACTCTACACTGCCTATTCTTAGCAGGATTGACCTATTTGCACTGCCTATGGACATCACCGGCAGCATGGGAGTCGATTCGACCGGAAGATGTCAGCAAGACGTGTACAGACTGCACAATGGTGTTGGTGGCGATTGCTGAGGGCTGGCAAGCTGCAGCGCCATACCGCGATACGTTTGAGGCTCTGGCGAGCCGAGTTATCGCAAAGCTGTTTAGAAAGAACTGCACCGTGCAGCCGTCTTGGCCTCCTCCAAGTGAAGCTCAAACTACGGACCAGATCCCGGACACATGGGGGCACTGGATGAATGACATGGCAAATTCTGGAGTTCTAGAAGGCGTTGATGGGCTTTTGGAAGGCTTCATTGGCGATTTTACAACGCAGATCGATCCGTGATGAGAAACACAAGTTGTATTCTTGTTCCACCATGGCTAGAATTCTCCAGTGAAAATGCTGAGATCAATTTTTTTGGAATTAACCGACGCCAAAGATTTCTAGATATAGACGTTCAAGAATGTTACGTCACTCTATTCCTACCGGCCACTCGGAACGACTTATTCATGTTTGCGGGAATGAAGAGGATTTGCTACTACAGTCGGTGACACTAATAACCCATCGTATTCTTCCGAATGGTCATTTGACAAAGCCAAACTAGTTGATTGTGTATTTCGAATAGCCCTCGGATCCTGCCGTAAAACACTCTACGGTGATTGTGGCACAGCGGCACATTCATTGCACTCTACCGTAGCGATCTTGCGTGTAAAATCTTGTCAATCTTGCTGATTTACTATTTCTGCCCCCATGATATTCCAATATATGGAGGCTCTACTGATATATATGAGATTTAAAGCATGTTAATTCATATTCAACTCTAAACCAATTTACGAGCGTTTTAATCAGGTTCGGTTTCAATATGTAGCTTATAGAATTGTAAGACTTATAGAGCTTAAAGTTTTGCATCATCCTTAAACCGATCCAACCGATAATCCCCGAGCATTGGATCATCAATATCAAAGACAATCTTCTTGGCTAGGAGCTCACCAACCAGTGCGGCATTCGTCACACCAGAGTGCATCACAGCCAGGTCAAGCCCTTCTAAACCCGTGGAACCGAGAATAGGATAGCCATCCTCCGGCTCAGGTCGCACACCAATAGTGTAATGGCTAAACTCGAGTTGATCTCCATTCTTGAACGCCTTTTGCACTTGGCTGAAGAGGTCTTCTGCTGTTGCTTGCGGATTGTCACCGGGCTGTCCACCGGCGAAGGACGCACCGAAGACAATGTGTCCATCAAGGGTCTGGCGCATATGCAAGCCAGGTAAGCGGAGCAAGGTATTGAGATACCGCTTTTCAGTCGGAGCTGTATTGACAAGGAGACCCTTTCGATCACTCAAAGGAAGTCTGATATTCTCGGTTGCCAATAATGGAACACTCCCAAGACCAGCAGCGAGAACAACGTGGCTGCCACGCAAGTGCCTAGAGCCCGTTACTACACCCGAGACTCGACCATGTTCGTTCTTCAAAAACCCAGTAACACTCGTCTCAAGCACTTTGGTGCCAAGTGATTGTGCGTGAGCGATCAGCTTCGCCGCGGCGACGTTTGCTTCGATGGTTCCCTCCTCAGGGACATAAAGGCCCCATTTGACCAAAGAGAACTGCGCCTCGTCGATCTGAGGCTCGGATACAACAAGCTCGGTCTCTTCCATCCGCGTAACATTTGTACCCCAGTGACGCTGACATTCATAGAACTCTTGGCGCTCTTCAGGAGTCCTATCACAGACCAAGACGCCACCCCAACGAATCGGAAGATCCGGGAGCTCTTTGCCCATTTCAGCCCATCGTGCCATGGAGCGACGTCGGAAGTCGTAGTAGAATTTCTGCGTTGCGCCAGCTGCGTTAAGCCAGCAAAATGAGTTCGGTGTTGCTACGCCTCCAATTGTCTCTGCAATTAGAATGACATCCTTCTTCTCCCTGGCCAAGTGCCAGGCAATGGAGGCACCGACAATTCCACCGCCTATGACAATGACTGGAGACGATGCAATGCTCATGGTGATTCCTGAAATGAAGATACGTGTAAGGATTTAAAAAGGCTGGATAATGTTGTGATGGATCCTTGAATTTGATGACGCATTTCACATTATCTCATCTCATTCTTATAGATATAAAAGCAAGTAATGCAATCTAGGTGGAAATACCCTAAGCCATGTTGGTGGCTCTCGTGACTCATCCCAAGTCGGAAGAATACGACGGATTACAAGATCGGAAGAATACGTACGGGGGAGATGGCCGGAAGAAACCAGCACCGGCAAACCTGCCAGAGTCTTGTGACCCTGCTAGGGACATTTGCTTTATGCTTGATAGGGCCCATGTGACAGCTCAACTTACCATCGTGTCCAAGCGAGCTGCACAAGTTAGCCTATGCGGCCTAGCAGTCTAATTCACAGCTACAGACCTGGCGATCGTGAATGGGTCCGTTAGAGGCTTAGCTAGCTGGACGGTGAGTCTATGTTCCAGCGATGCGATATGTCAAACAGCTCGCAAATAAAAGTTTTCGATCGTACCATGTCGACCAACATGAGAGGGATCTACTTCACATGTAAATACGCCACCAAGCAATTCTTTTCACGGGCTGAACCTGCTTCAGACATGTCTGAAGAAGCTCAGTCCCACCCTGTTACTGGAATAATCATAACGTTGCTTCAATGAGCGGCTAAATCGGTCTAGCCCGAGAACCCTTATATTGCGCTTCAAAGTAGAGAAGTGGTAAAGCTCTATTACCATATTATATATGAAAGCAAAAATAGATAAATATTTGATAGAGTCTGCTTATGCCTTGACAAGTCGCTGTTTCGCTTTCACACTCCGTACAGATTACTTCACCCCAGCTAAGAAATGTAGGGTAAGAGGGTAAGAGACAGGCGTTATTCCCGCTTATAAGCCGTGTTTAGCGCCACTGAATATGAATATGTCACTGTTTCCCCGCGCCACTACAGGGACAGGGACAGCATGGTCCTGGCGGAGTTTAATTGTGCCGCGTACGCATATCTGTGATTGAGAGTTCTGGACAACAGTATTGGTAGCAGTCAAAGTCGCCGACATGAGCTAGGCTTTCAATCGCTCGCTCTGATCTTTATTGTGTTGATAATAGCTGAGCGATATTTTTTACAAGGCTAGCTAAGGACAAAGCGGGAGGGTGCGATACGTATGAGTAAAACGCAGCCAAGCTAGATAACAGTAACAACGGACAAAGCGGCCCGTGCGATGTAATGAGCGAGGCTCATGGCGTGACCAATTGGACTTTTGACCTCGCTGGCCACGAAGGTGCTGAAGACTGGCAGCCGCTCTGGAAATTACACTCTGAGTGCAGTATCTTACATAGAAGGGCGATCTCCTCCGATTGCTTCGAATTCTGTGAGATCTAACAGCCTTTCAGGTCAGTGTGGCAGGAGAAGCAAAGATAGAGTATCCTGCATGCATTTTACCAGAGCCTGTAGTACAAAGAGTATAAATACACCGGAGATTATTTCTCCCGCCTTAACATCGCCTTAAGAAGAGAGAAAGCTTTAACATATTATAGCCTATATTGTAATAATTTAAACTCTTATTCATACTCCAATGCTATATAAGTACGGAGAAAAGGTCTTAGGAGATTTAATATTATTATATTATAGTGCAAATAACAATAAAAGTGCCTTAAACCTTTAAGTCCCTTTAGCATTTATAAGCATATTAAGATACAAAGGTATTTAATTCACGCGTTCTATCTTTTAGACGCTTCAATCTTAATGAATTTATAAATCAGCCTTCGTTCTTTTATTGGAAATTTTTATTTCTATAAAAATGGATCTATCCCAAATTGAACTCGCCTTTATACTTGCTTTCAATAACAAACTGGCATCCTTACTGGCGATCTTGGTAAGCCCTGGCTTGGTTCACTATCACATCATTCCTTACACTTGTCTAGGTCTTTTATCTTCTCATTACAGCAATCTACTACGCCTATATACACCCACTTGCCAAGGTCCCAGGCCCCAAACTATACGCTGTTACTCAAATTCCCTACTTCTACCATGTTACCCAAGGGAGCTGGCTGGACAAGCTTAACAAGCTACATGATCAATACGGTCCTGTCGTGAGATTCGCCCCTAATGATATATCCTTCATTACTGCCAATGCAGTTAAGATTATTTACGGCTCCAAGGCAGGCGGTTTCGCACCTTTCGATAAGGACTTGCGAATGTATAGGCACGGCAACCCAGTTAAGGACATTGTAACTGCTGGCCATGAAGATCATAAGCGCATACGTCGCCATCTGGCTTACGCATTTTCGATAAAGGCCCTCCGCGATCATGAGAGCATCCTGAAGCAATATGCTGATAAATTCATTTCAAAGCTGTGCCAGAGGGCAGGTACTGATGTTGACATGGTGGCGTGGTTCAATTACGTTACCTTTGATGTCATGGGCCATCTCTCCCTTGGTCAACCATTCGGATGCATTGATACCGGCCATTATCACCCTTGGATTACGCTCATCCTTTCAAGTCTGAAGCCATTTTCTTTTATAACAGTCATTGCTCGCTTAGGATTCGTTCAATGGATCCTTTGGCTGATCCCAACACACCAGGACGAAACTTTGAAGAATGACTTGCAATTTGTTGACCGTGCGGCATCAACTCGTTTAAACACCGGAGATACCAAGAGTCCCGATATCATGTCTTATATCCTTCGTCATGACGATGGGACGGGCATGTCAAAGGCTGAGATCCTCGAAAATGCAAGCCTACTTATTGCTGCCGGCGGCGAAACAACAGCGTCGCTCCTGAGCGGCACAACATACTATTTACTAACCAATCCTGACAAGTATAAGACGCTAGTTGATGAGATTCGATCTACATTCACATCCGAGGACGAGATCACTCTACCTCGTGTAAATCAGCTTCAGTATCTACTAGCTGTTCTCAACGAAGGCCTTCGCATATGTAAGTCACATGGGGAGAAATTCTACAGCTTCGGAGTTTCGTATTAGTTCCGTATTAATTCGTCAATTAGACCCACCATCTGCTACCGGTCTCGCGAGAATTACACCACCTGGGGGCAAGAGTATCGAAGGATATTGGATCCCTGAAAATGTAAGTCAGATCAGAGTCACTCTTCAGTATTTCAAGATGGAAACTAACAGCTTTGGCTCTAGACTTCAGTTTCTGTCCCTCATCAGTCTGCATACTTATCGGCTTACAACTTCAAAGACCCGCGAAAGTTCATTCCAGAACGCTGGTTAGGCGACACGAAATATGCCAGTGATAACAGGGATGTGCTACAGCCTTTCTCTGCCGGGCCTCGAGACTGCATTGGTAAAAGGTTAGTCAAGATGGCCTGGGCAAAATTTAACTTGGTCAG